TCAAAATTGATACACCCCGGCTTACCATCTAGCGGAAGGTTTCGGAAAGGTGAAAAAACATATATTTAATACTTGCGCCGGGTATTTAATGTTCGGCTTCGCCCGAACTTAGACTTTCTTACTAGTTTTTTTTTTTGTTTTTTATGTATAACATACATAACTTTGGACCACGTCAACCGATTTCGATAATTCTTTTTGCGTCGGAAAGGTAGTGTCTCAGAGGTGGTCCCATACTAATCTGGTTAAGATCCGATCAGCGGATCATGAGATATATATATATATATATTTTTTTTATATGGGAGTTGAAGTCGGTTTTTTTTTTGCTAAAAATTACTAGTTAATACCACACTTGCAAAATATTTATTGCCTACTGACACCAGGAATCAGTTTTTTCTCTCCTGAAAAGTTATTAAAAAACACATAACTGTATTTGTTGGCGCAGCGACGATATAAATTCAGATCTCAAACTTTGTACAAAAATTAGAAAAATTCTGCTTATTTTCACCAAAATTTCAAACTTTTTAATCAGAATTTTGGTATGCAGTTTTGTAGACCATTTAATTATAGTAAAATGAAGAGCAAATTTCAAGGTGCTATAAAATACTGTTAATTTTTGGCAATTTTTTTTGCTAGCAGTGTCCTCCATATAAAAAAAATTGTCGAACATAATTTTGTATGGAAAAAACGTGAAACACCTTCAACCAAAAAGATTCATTTTTGTGAGCTATCTGCAAATGTTTTTTGATGTTGGCTGTCGCTTGACCTGAACATATGAAAAGAAATTCCAAAGAATCGGCAAACAAAGGCCGATGCCGATGCCGATGCTCAATTTTGTGCCGATTCTACCCGATGCCGATTAATCCGTCGGACTCTACAAATAAATGTGTCAATTCATAACGGGCAAATAATTTAATTAATTGGCTTGTTATGCAACATTACATACATATGTATGTACGTGTAAAAATATATATACGTATAGCACATTTATGTACATTACATAAAACACTTTTTTATATGGTGCTAAGGAAGAAATATGTATTGTATTTAGGAACATAAAATTTAATTTCGTTTTGTACTAAAATACACTATTTTTCACTCAATGCATAAGAACTTATATGCTAGGTATGTATGTGTATACTAGGGTTGTTGCGAATATTCGCATTCGCAACCGCGGAGCTTCCGCATTAATTTTGACATTCGTATTCGCTTTCGCATTCGCAATAATCAATGCGGTGCTTTTGCCGCACAAAGGGCTCAAAAGTCAGATTTATCGACTTTGAAAAAAGTGTCTTTAAACCTATTATCTTTCAAGCTATATAACCGAGTTATCAATGCATCGTTAGGTATTATTAAAATGTAGCCAGGCACAGCCTTCAGGAAGCTATTCCAAATTACTCCCAGATTTCACAATTTCAAGGTTTGAAATCGTAGCTGCTCGCCCTTTTCGATTGGGGCATATCTCAATGAAATTGTGCCGGAGTCAGATAACTAGACTGAGTATCAAATACTGGATACAAGTTCGAGAATGAAAAATGTAGCCACAGGAAACATCCTGAAAGTTGTTCTCAACCGATACTAGATTCCGAACTTTCATGGCACGATTGGCATATATGCATCTCAGGACTGTTGCTAGCAAATATGCATCCGAGAAGATCTCCAATTGAAGAAAATATCAAACCACTAGCTACAACTTTGCGGATAAGAATTAAACTTTTCAATGCCCGTTATAGTATTCTTTTTCTGGCCTACCCATCCGGTTGGCAGTTCTCCGCATCCGCGAATGTCTAAAATTCCACATTCGCAAAATCCCTACTATGTACATTAGGATGGGCCAAAAATGTATGTGAAAAAGTGAAGTCGGAATTTTTATGCTCTCACCCCCTAGTATTGTTCTATACCGAAAAAAATTATATCCTTATTTTTTTACTTTGAAATCAAAAAATATTTAGAGGTCGCTCAAAGCGCCCAAAGTTTTCCATGTATTTTATGTGGGGAAAAACCCACTTTTCGTAGAAATGGTATAGAATAGTTAAAAATAAATATTTTTCTACCAGAAACCTCTGTTTATCTGCCGGAGATTCCCAATAATAATATCCAATTGTTTATTTAACAATTTCTTCATCGCAACTATAATTTATAGGTCCGCCAAAAACCGACAAAAATCCCGAAAAATGCAATGGGGCGACCAATAAAAAATCGTTAGTACTAAAAAATGGTTAAATAAACAATTGGGTATTGTTATTGGAAGTCTTTTGAAGAGCACCGGAGTTTTCGGATCGAAAAATATTGATGTTAAAGAATTCTATACCATTTCAACGAAAAATTCAATTTTTCCCATATAAAAATACATGGAAAACTTTAGCGCTTTGAGCGACCTCTAAATATTTTTTGATTTCGAAATAAAAAATTGGGGTATACGTCTTTCAATAAACAACAATCCTAGGGGGTGAGAGCATTACAATGCCGGTTCTGGCATTTGGCATTTGTATTTTGTTTATTTAATGTTTATTGTCTGCATATGTAAAAATGATGTGACAAATGTATAGTAATTCATCAATTGAGAACGGCTGGGCCGACTTGGCTAAAACATTTTTTTTTTCGTTGTTCGTTATTGCCAAGAAAAAGTTTCTACGAAAGAAAATTTTGGTAAAACCCTCCGGACAAGTCGGGAAAATCGAAAATTAATTTTTTTTTATGGAATTTTGTGTGCCATCGTTTCGGGCTGGCTTTTCGAATGGAAAAATAGAAAATTCTTAGTGGAAACCTCGGAAAATTCTGGAAGAACACGAAAAATTTGAATTTTTTCGACGAAATTTTGCATTTTGTCGCATAATTGGATGATTTTGGACGATATAAAGGTGGAGAATTCGTTGTGATGCTAGGAAAATTTCAGATAAATGTGAAATTCAAATTCTCTAATGCATATACAAGTAACAATCCTGAGATGAAAATTCGGAATCTAGGGTCGATTGAGAAAAACTTTCAGGATATTTCCTACTGATTTGTATTTGATACTCAGTCTAGTTATCTGACTCCGGCACAATTTCATTGAGATATACCCCAATCGAAAAGGGCTAGCAGCTACAATTTCAAACCTTGGAATTTTAAGATCTGGGAGTAATTTGGAATAGCTTCCTGAAGGATGTGCTTGGCTACATTTTAATAATACCTAACGATACGGGTGTCAAGTTAGCACTACACTTTTCGAATTTGGAAAAGTTAACTACGGCATTAATTGTAGTGTTTTTGTTGTAAATTTGTTGTGGAAAGAAAAACTTTGTAGCTCTCGTTTTTTAAGAAAAAATGGTATGTAGTGCTAACTTGACACCATACACCTAGTCGATAGAATTGAGATATCCAATATGTTAATATGCCATTAATTGTAGCTTTTAACTTTAAAATTTGTTGTGAAAAGAAAAAATTTGTAGCTTTCGTTTTTCTGGAAAAAATTGAGTTGAACCTTTTTCGAACAAAATTTGGTATGTAGTGCTAACTTGACACCATGCCCCATTGACGACAGAATTGAGATATTGAAAAGGTTACAACGGCATTAATTGTAGCTTTTTTGTTGTAAATTTGTTGTGGAAAGAAAAAATTTGTAGCTCTCGTTTTTTAAGAAAAAAATGGTATGTAGTGCTAACATGACACCATACACCTAGTCGATAGAATTGAGATATCCAATATGTTAATATGCCATTAATTGTAGCTTTTAACTTTAAAATTTGTTGTGAAAAGAAAAAATTTGTAGCTTTCGTTTTTCTGGAAAAAATGGTATGTAGTGCTAACTTGACACCATACACCTAGTCGATAGAATTGAGATATTGAAAATGTTATAACGGCATTAATTGTAGCTTTTAACTTTAA